GCGGCCTCGGCTTGCTCCCCGTTCAGCAGGGTCACAAAGGCTGCAGCGGGAGGGGGAGTGGGTCAGTGGGGTCCCGGAGCGCCTGCCCCTCGGCCCCATGGCTGCCCGCCCTTACTTCTCATAAACCATGTGTGATCTCAGAATACTGACCCACTAAGACACCCCAGGCCCCAGTGGACTAGATAGTTGCCAGCCTTGAGCAACTTCTACCTCCAAAAGGCCTGCTCCCTGCCCTCACCCCCTAGCCGTTCTCAACCTACTCATGAGCTCACCTGCCCTCTTATATACTGTGCACTTGGCTAGGTGACAATAGGTGAGTAACTTGGGTGACACAGAGAGTAGTGGTCAAGCACGTGGTCACTAGAGCCTGGTTTCAACTCCAGCTTAAGTGGCTGTGGGGGTCTCAGTTTCCCCATCTGTTAAATGGGAATAACTTACTCCTCATAACCACCATGGTGCCAGCAAGGAAATGAGTGCAGAGCAGCGGCACCCCTAACAGAGGGGAGGAGCCTGGACTTGAACCCAAGCAAACAGGCTCCACAGCCCCACTCTGCACCCCGTCCTCACCACCTTTCTAGGCCAACACCTCTCACCTCTCATGTCTGAGCCCTGGCCTAAGCCTCAGTCCTGCTGCCCTCCTGGTTTGCTGTCCAGCCAACAGCTAGCTTTTCAAAATGATTATCAGAATGTGCCATGCCTTATCCAGGGGCTTCTCACTGCAGGGGACAAGGGAGCCTGTGTGGCCTGTCTTTGCTAACCTCCTCTCCCATCTCCTGTTGCTACTTCCTGGACTATGCCAGGCACATGCCCGCGCAGGCCTTTGCATCTGTATTTCCCTGGAACACTGACCTCCCCTTCTTCACCTGGTTAATCCTGATCCACCCTTCAATCTGACTGGAAACATCACTTCCCCCATGAAGCCTACCCTGACTGCTCCTGTTTCAGATCACAGCTCTGGGCTCCCACAGCACCCAGTAGCTTCTAGTCCTATGACCACTTCACCTTCACGCCTGCAGTTGTGTGAATGACATTCTCCCCCCAGACTAGCCCATCGCTGTTTGGTTCACAGCTGTGTCCCGTGTCCCAGCATATACTGGCGCATAATAAACATTTATTGAAAAACACTATAATGAGAGTCACTTAACCTCTGGAACCCCAATACCTGGCATATACACAGAAGAGGTACTTAGTAAAACAGTTCTGACTTGTTGCCCCTGCCAGTGTTTACTAAGTATCTACTGGGTGCCAGACACCCACAGCCTTTTTAGGTATTTTAATGATTTTAATGTGTTTTACCTTGTGGCCAACCCAAGCAGGTCAAGCCCAATTTGCTGGTGAGAAAACTGAGGCTCAGGAAGGGTGAATCACTTGCCTCTGGCCTCCAAGTGAGGACAGACCAGGACTTGAACCCAGGTCTATTTGTCTCCAGGTCCCAAGATTTTAACCACTTACCCTAGCCCACCAGGTAGGTCTCCAGGGTCCCCGTCCTCACCTGCTTCTCACCCAAGTTACAGATTGCAAGCAAAGGACTAGAGGACACAGACACCCACCGAGGGTCTCCCACAAGGTGGGGGGTGCAAGGCTGACAGGACTTGTCCCTGTTCTCAGGGAGATGACCACTCAGTGCAGGAGGCAGTGAGCGAGCTAGCAGTAACAGCCCAGAGTGATGGGGAGAGGCATGCAGAGCACTGTTGAGGAGCTGCCTGCCTGCACCTGGATAGAAGAGGGGACAGCTAAGAACAGAGGCAGAGGGAACGCCTGGAAGCTTGCCACTGAGGAGGTGGCAAGGCTGGGGCACATCCTTGCAAGATAGTGTCAAGAGGAGCCTCAGACAGGTATTGAGGAGAGAAAAACAATCAGGTTAGGATTAGTTTTTTTTTTGTTTTGTTTTTATATGTTTGAGTTTTAAAATTCATTTCAGAGAGAGGAGAGAGGGAGAGAGAAATAGAAACATCGATGATGAGAGAGAATCATTGACTGGCTGCCTCCTGCACACCCCCTACTGGGTAGCAACTCGGACATGTGCCCTGACCAGGAATCAAACTCTTGGTTCATGGGTCAATGCTCAACCACTGAGCCCACTGGAGGGCTAGAATTAGGTTTGATCAGATTTGCAATCAACTGATCAAATTTGATAGACCCTGGCTCCCTGGGGGAGGGCAAGTAGGAGTGTGAAATCATGGAGAGGCCAGTGGTGACTGCCATTTTGACAGAGATGGAGGAGCACTAATTGTTCTGGAGGTCTTGACAAAGACCAGACAGGCCTAGGTGACTGGGGGTATGGTGTGGGAAGTGGGGAAGCCCAATGCTCAGGTATCTGGCTGAGCAGCCTGAAGGAAGAACAGGAATATCAAGACTGCTCCATAATGAGCACCCAGAAAAGATTGGGGCAACAGTCTGTCTTGTGCCGGCCTAGAGGATGTTGAGCCCAAAATTCAGGAGAGAAGATGCCAGGCCAGAAAGCACCTGGCTTCAGGGACTGTCACCCTTGCCACTAGCCCACCCCACAGCCCCACAAACCTGTCCCTTTGTATTTGTCCACAAAACAGTACTTGAGCTCATAGTCGCTGAGCAGGTCGTGCACTTCCTGCAAAGACAGAAGCCAAAGGACAGGGAGTCACCAGCGGCTGAAGGAAGCAATCCAGCGCAACCTTCACATGGAACAGCTACAGAGGCAGGTCAATTGTAGTCCCCATTTACAAAGGAGGAAACTAAACTCAGAGCAGTTACTTGCCCAAAGCCATTGAGGCCACACCTGGCAGAGCCAGGATTCAAAGTCTAATTGCAGATCCCATTTTCTTAACCAACACAAAATACTCTTAGAGAGTCAGGCGGGTCTGAGTTCAAGGCCTAGCTCTGCCTTATGCCGTTAGGGAAGTTGTTTAACCCAGGGGTGCCAACCGGTGGTCCGCGAGGTCCAAAAGGTTGGCGACCGCTGCTTTAACCTTCTGACTGACCCTTAATTGGAAGCCTGACTCCTTTCAACATTACAAGTTAGGTAATAACAAACCCATCTTGCAGATGAGGAAACAGGCTCAGAGAGGTGAAGGTCAAGACAGCAGCAGCAATGCCACCCAGGGGTACCTGACTGCGGACCCCATATACTTGAAGCCCACACTGGGTGGCTTCACGTGCCTCCCAGTTCCCTCCTGCTGACACGGTTGCCTTCTTGTAAGCCAGCTGCGGGGGCGAGCCTCTACCGGCCTGCTTGTGCCAGATACACTGTGCACCCTGCAGGAGAGACAGTGTGTTCCCAGCTAGGTGGCAGGTGCTAGGAGGAGGGCTGACTCTAGGAATAAACCTGACCATGCCTAGTAGTGCTTGCCCCAGGTCTGTCCCCCGAGTCACGCCCTCCCCACACTTTGGTGGCCCTACCACCCACGTGCCCACCAATGGAGGGTGAGCCAGCGGCAGATGTGTCGGTGGCCCAGAAAGGAGGAATCCTGAGCAACAGGAAGAGAGAGCCCATTCCACCACCGCAGGGCAGGGCAGACCAGATGCGATCTCCTTGGGTCCAAAGAGCACTGGAAAGCCCTGCACCCACAGGCCCCAAGAGAAGAGCACCCCTAGCCAGACCGGCCAAGGGGAGCTCCACACAACGGGCCCCTCCTTTCTTTCAGGTCCGTGGGCTGGAGGCAGGAGACCCCTTTTTCCAAATAAATTCTGGGGCTTTGGGAGAAGAAAGATCTCAGGAGCTGCTACAACTTCCGATCTATCTCTAAGAGGGGTTCATAATCCGTGCTCTAAGCCAACCCTGAACTTCTGACTATGCGGTCTCGCCACCTCATGGCAGAGGGGAATGAGGATAAACACAATCAGAGCAGGGAGCTCCTGGCGTCTCTATTCCCACAGTCCCGGTCTAGCTGCCCATTCACAATCCCCCAACTTGGCCAAGGCTGCCCACCCACTTCAATCACTAGTGCTCTTCCAAGGCCGTGGTCGCCGTTTACAACATCCTCCCTCAGTCCAAAGTTGGTTTCTCCCTCCATCACCGCCCCCCCCCCCCCAACAATCCGCCCTTGGTCTCTCCCAAACCCTCATGGATCCTGCGTTTGGACTCTCCCGCCGACGCCCCCTACACCCGAGCACGCCAGCGTCGGTGTTGCCTGGTTCCCCCCGCGCACGCGCACGGTGGTATTTCCCGCCACGCTCCCACACCGCCCCCCCATACCTGGTTGGTCACGTCCCCCGGGAGGCCCCGGATCAGTATCTTGCGGCGGTTACGGAACTGGCGCTCGGTGTGTTCCAAGCGTTTCCTGATCTCCTCTGGATCTAGCGGCTGCAGTTCTTCTTCGGGCGCCCGGCGCTCTGGGGCATCGTCAGTTTCAACCTCGGCCCCAGGCTCCGGACTCAGCGGGGGCCGGTGAGTAACGGACACGTCGGCCGCCATCTTGGGAAACCCGGCGCCTTCTGGGACCAGCGAGCCAGGGCGGAGCGGCATAGAGCGGCAACGAGGGCGCGTCCACCTATTGGCCGAAAGAAGCCCCTCCCCTTCTCTTCAAATCTCTCAGCCCATTGGCTAGGGCGCAGCCCGCCTCCCAGAGTTCACGCCCCATCTCGGCGCACAGCCTCCGCCCCTTGCCACCGCTGAGATGTCACTCAATAGACGCTCAGCGCTGTGGGGGAGCCCCTTAGCGCAGGTGCAATCCAGCCATAGACTCCGGCGGGGCTGGTGTGGTTCAGTGGTTGAGCATGGACCTATGAACCAGGAGGTTACAGTTCGATTCGCGGTCAGGGCACACGCCCTGGTTTCAGGCTCGACCTCCAGTAGGGGGCATGCAGGAGGCAGCCAATCAATGATTCTCACTCACCATTGATGTTTCTATTTCTCCCTCTCCCTTCCTCTCTGAAATATATATATATTTATATATATATATATTTATATATATATATATATATTAAAAAGCCACAGACTCCGGATTTTGAGCACTTTATTGTTGCAGAACTGATGATAAAGCCAAACACCCCCGCCCCCGCCCCCCGCCCCCCTCCCCCCTCCCGTCATCTTTGGCTGGAGGCTCAAGATGGTGGTTCCCCCAGAGGCTCCTCAGCCGTTTTAGATGTGAGGGGAAACCCGGCGTTTCCCTGATTCACATGGTAGATGTCTCTACGCTTGTGCACCCCGAAGACGTAAATTGAGGCCGGGATGGCAGCCACAAAGCCCAGGATGGTCAACACTGCTATGATGATGGTAATGGTGATGGGGTTCCGCTCTGTGCAGAGAAGCAAGGAGTAAATACTCGTACCCCTGGCCCTAGGCTTGCCCATTTAGAACCGCAGGCCCCCCTCAGCTCACCTTGAACATTCATCACCACAGTGACAGTGTATATGCCCTGTGAGCTGGCCGCCTGGCAGTGGTAGGTACCACTGTAGTTTAACCTGACTCGGAATGGGATCCCGATGGGGACCTGGGCCATGGAGCCTTTGTGCAAACACTGTAGCTGGGGATCTGGGTTGCCCTGGGCTTGGCACTGAAGGATTTGGGTCGTTCTTTCTTTCCACATCAAGTGCTGAGGACATTTGGCCGGGTCAATCTTGGGACCATCTGTGGGACCGCCAAATGATCAGACAAACCCAAGGTCCAATGGGGCAAGAGAGAATCAAGTCTCTCCAAATCAGGAGAGCAAGGAATTCAAGGTCAGAGTGACCTACTCACACAGTACACGCAGCTGGACGCTCCTGTTCTTGTGCAAGACCACCCCATCCACCTCGAGGGCCGCACTGCAGAAGAAGCTGCGTCTGTCGTCCCTCTCAGTGGCATTTAGCTGAAGCAGCGCGAGCTGTCCCGGGGCTGCAGCGGGAACTCCATCCAACGTGACCTGGACTCGGGCTCCAGCAGCGCAAGTCACATTCACTATGGTCCCCTGACGGACGGTGGGCTGGCTCAGGTTCAAGACGGGCCCCCAGAAGCCTGAAGGAGTAGCATTGCCTGGGCGTTTGCTATCCACTCCCTCACATCCACTAAGCCCAGCCGACCACCCAGATTTTTCCCCTCGGGGTAACCAGACCTTGCCTTTTAGCTACTCTGGGGCCCCACCTAAGTTGGGGCACTCAGGCAGTCCTGTAATGAAGGCCCCTGCCCCGCCCACGCGGCAACTCCTCCCACGTTGGCGGCTCAGGCCCTGCTTTTCTGGCTTGGCTTCTCCCGTGCCTTGCCCTTTGGGCTAATGAAGCTCAACCCTCTGGCCCTCACCTCTGCAGCAGTTTTGGCCCCGGCCCCTCTTACTATAGATGGTCAAATTCTCCTGAGTTTCCTGGCTCTCGCCTCCCAGGGTCACATTGCAGACAATCTCCTGAGCCCCCTCCAGCTCCGCGGTGGCTGTGGCTGTGGTGCTGGCCGTCAGCGTGTCACCGTAGCTCTCGACTGTGGCATTCAGCATCTGGTCCCCCAGCGCCAGTTGGACCTGGGCCTCTGAGGCCGGAAACAGCCCGTCCAGGGTGCAGTTCACGGCCTGGGATGTTCCCACCTCCAAGAACCGGGGAGCGAAGAGACGCGGAGGCGTCACTGGCAGGACTGGGGAGAAGAGTGGGAGTGAGCTGGAGGTCTCACACAGCGGTGGACACCCCTTTCCCTGTGACACACTCATACCCCCCAACCAGGGTTCTTCTTTCCCAGGACACCCTGTAACCTGGATCACCCCCTTCCTAGGACACATCTATCTGCACATACTTCTCAAAAATTCCTGCCACCATGGGAATTTTTGAAGCCGCCCATCCAATGGCCAAGGGCAGGCCTTCCTAGAAGCCCTTGAGGTCCAGGCCACCCCATTCTCGGGAACCTCAGGGCCAGGGCACCCCTGCTCTGGCTCAGCTCATCACCCACACTGAGCAGTCCCTTCCCTCACCGAAGGTTCGGAGCTGCCTGGGGACTGAGCTGTTCTGGAACAGACCCAGCCCTTGGGACCGCAGGTCCAGTTCCCAGCGGCAAGAGAAATTGGCACCATGATCATTTCTGCTGGCTAGCACCGTGGTGGTGACTTCTCCAACCGCCAGCTGCTGGCTCAGCACCTCCTCCCCACGGAGCAGCAACACGGAGAGTTTGGCCCGGGGTGCCCCGCCTGCCACCCTGCAGCGCAAGGTGAGGTTTTTGCCCACAGGATTCCAGGGGGACAGGGGTGCCAGCTCCACACGCTCCGGAAACTCTGCGGGTGGGTGGTAGAGGGAGGGGAGAACAGAACTTACCAGTCAGCCTTGCAGCCCCCTCCCCAGGGGGTGGAGAGGACCCGAGGGTGGCCCCGTGCAGAACTGTGAACTTCGAGTTGATAAACCTAGAGGGCTTAGAAATGTGCTAGTGGAAGTGTTTGCTATTGTCATTAGCACCAAGATGATTATTTCCTGTTTTGTCAGACAGGGAAATAAAAGATATGTTTACAAGGACCTTACAGTAAAAAAAAAAAAAAAAAGAGCCATGGCACGTTTTGCTTAGTGGACGGAAGGGTCTCCAGCTGATTCCCCGTCAAGGGCACCTGCCTCGGTTGCAAGTTCTACAAGTTCAATTGGGGAGTGCGTGGGAGGCAACCAATCGATGTGTCTCTCTCACATTGATGTTTCTTTCTCCCTCCCTCCCTCCTCCTTCCCTTTCACTCTGAAAATTAATGGGAAAAAGATATCCTCGAGGTGAATTTCAAAAAGAAAAAGAAAAAAAGAAAGGGAAAGGGTGCTAATGCCTATGACCACTTACGATGTTAACAGCAATGACAAAAGTTCCTATTTAGAGCTTTCCTTAGATTTTGCAAATGTCATCCAGGCATCCACCTTCATTCACATAGCAACTGAGTAAAATGTTCTCTATTATTCTTTTTACAGATGGAGAAACAAGCCCAGAGAGGTGATCTGCCCAGAGAGGCACATCCAGGAAGGGGCAGAACCTGGGTTAGAATGTGAGTCTCCCAAACTTTGGACCTGTGTGTCCACCTGCCTCTTTGGTGTCACATCTAGGGATTCCCCTGGCCCTCCTCCCAGCTTCTGGCCTGGACTCTGGCCTTGGCCTCTCCAAGAGCTTGGCCCAACCCTTCCCCATCAGTCCCAGGTGCTCAAGACTCTGACAGTCTACTTGCCTGGGGCAGCCTCTCAAGGTGCTCTGGCACAATCTTGGGGGACCGGACCCCTCTAGGCTGGGTCCTCTCCCAGGTACAGCTGCAGTGCCTTTCTCAGGCACACAGACCACATCCTTCACCTCCTTGGGAAGCAACTTACGCTCACCTCCAACAACTCGAGTTTGGATCTCAAGCTGTCAGAGAGGCCCATGGACTGGCTGCTATGAAAAATCTTTAACATCTTACTACAATTTTAGAATATTTGACAAGGAGGCCTCCATCTTACTCTTGGGCACCACTGGTCAGGGCTAGTGTTATGCTGGTAAATTCTGGTTATGCTTGGGCTCTCGGGGGTGGGGTGGGAGAGCCCGGATAAGGAGGATTTGCCAATTTCTGTAGTGTAAGTATCCCCACCATGGCTGATACCAAGCTACCCAAAGTGAGATAGAGTTGGGAAGAGCTGAGCACAGTCAGACCTCATGAGCCAGGAACACCGCACTGGCCAGAGCACCTCACAGACACACAGATCCATACAGGTAGATAGACACATGCAGATGTACACATTACACAGAAATATATGTGGATACAAACATATATGTAGACACATTGACACAGACATCCACAGACACACAGATATTGAAACAAACACACTTGCCCCCACACACAGATAACACAGGCAGTCACACATGGAGATATAGATACAATCATGGGGATACACACTGAGAGACACAGACAGACACAGGCACACACACACACACACAAGCACTAACATACACATGTACACTCCCACAAACATAGACAATAACAGATACATATGCTATGGACACACATGGAGGTACACAAATACGTATAGACACTGGCACCCACATAAGAGCATACACGTGGGTACTATACTTATCCATGAAGGCTTCACAAAGCAGTAGGCACCGTGAGTGATCTAGTCTGTTGTATGCCTTTTTAAAAAATGTGTTTTTATTAATTTCAGAGAGAGGAAGGGAGAGAGAGAGAGAGAAACACCAATCTGCTGCCTCCTGTATGCCCCCCTACTGGAGAACAAGCCCACAACCAGGTCATGTGCCCTGACCAGAAATTGAATAGGGACCTCCTGGTTCATGGGTCCACAGGTCCATGGGTCCACACTCAACCACTGAGCCGTGTCGGCCGGCTCCTCATTGATTTTTAGAGAGAATAGAAGGGAGGGGGAGAGACACACAGAGAGAGAAACATCTATGTGAGGGAGACACATTAATTGGTTGCCTCGCGCACACACCCTGACTGGCCAAGACTCAGTTTGCAACCAAGAAACATGCCCTTGACCAGAATTGAACCTGACATCTTCAGTCTGCAGGCCAACGCTCTAACCACTGAGAAATCGGGTAGGGCAATAAACTATCTATCTATATAAAAGCCTAAGCAACCGTCACAACCGAAGGGACAACTGAACAGGCTGCGTGGGGCACGGCCAGCAGGGGGGTTAGTGAGGGGCGACCAAACGACTGAGCAGCAGGCTGTGTGGGGTGACCAGGCTGGCAGGGGGCTTAGGGAAGGACGACCAAATGATTGAGCAGCAGGCTGCGTGGGGTGACCAGGATGGCAGGGGGCAATTAGGGGCAACCAGGCCAAAAGGGGGGGCAGTTAGGGGCGATCAGGCAGGCAGGCATGTGAGCGGTTAGGAGCCAGCGGTCCAGGATTGTGAGAGGGATGTCCAAGAGGTCCTGGATTGGAGAGGGTGCAGGCTGAGCTGAGGGGACCCTCCCTCCCCCGTGCATGAATTCCGTGCACCGGGCCTCTAATTCTAAATAAATAAATGCAGAGAAACTCTTGGGAGGATCACAAGAAACCAGTGCGAGGGGGATTCCCAGTCTGGAAAGGAAGGCTTCACCTGTTAATAAGTCTTGGGAGCCAGACTGCCAGCTTCGCCGCTCAGGGGCTGTGAACCCGACAGATGATTCCACCCCACTGAACCTCAGTTTCCTTAGCTGTGAAATGAGGCTCATAAGTGCAGCGCTCCCCCCATCCCTTGCCCTGGGATCTTTGTAGGATTGAATGAGGGCTAAAGTGGGTATATACACTTAAAACAGTGGTCACTGCCAGCAGTGCTAGGTAAATGGAGATTTGACATTGATATGTTTTTATACTTTTTTATTTTGGAACCCCATTAATTTATTACCTGCCATAAAAATATAAGTAATAAATAAAAGACATGTACTATCATTTTTAAATGCCTCCTGGGACCCAAATAAATTGATTTACACTGCTGCTCTGTCATATGCTTGAGATGCATCTGTCTCTGTCTCTTTCACACACACACACACACACACACACACACACACACATGTCCAGGTCCAAACTCTGGGTCAGATTCCTGGTCCATTCCTGCAAACTCCAGGCCCACTCCCCCCGACTGCCTGAGGCCAGTCCCAGCTTCAGGCACATCTACTCACGGTACACTGTGATGTCAGAGGAGTCTGACATCTGCGAGCCGTTGCAGATGCCGGAGCAGAAGATCTCACTGTCACTGGTCACATTGCTGAGCCAGTAGGCCTTCCAGCCCAGGCCTTCGCCCGCTTCCTCCTTGAACAGGGATGTCTCCAGGCTGATGAGTTCAGGTTGGGGGCAATCTGTACTGCAGTTTACCAAGAGGGACCCTCCAGCAGGCACCACCGGGTTCTGGGGCTCCACCCGAAGCCGGAACGCCTGCCCCTGGGCACCTGTGGGAACATGGAAGCTCCGCTGCTTGATCCAGTGCCCCCCAGCCCATGCATCTTGAGGCCCTACCATCCAACACCTCCTCAACCTGAGATATGGTCTTTGCCTTCATGGTGCCTCCAATTCAGTGGGGAAGACAGGTGATGGATCAGAGACAGGAGAGCTCAGAGGGAGGCCTATAGGAAGGGGCCTATAGGAGGAAGTGAATCAGGGAAGCTTCCCAGACAAGACAAGTACAGACAGTTTTAAAGGGTAAGTAGGAGTTAGCCAAGTGAAAGGGAAGAGTGATCCTGGTAGAAGGCAGAGTGTAGGCAGAAGTCAAAGTTTCAGATGGAGCTGAGAGAGAGAGAGAGAGAGAGAGAGAGAGAGAGAGAGAGAGAGAGAGAGAAAGAGGAGAGAGTTGGGTGGGGAGGACAAATCACAATCACATGCAGGGACTGGGCCTCAGGAAGCCCTGGCTGAGTTAAGGCCCCACAACTTTCTCTCCAGGACACTGGTGAGCCCCCAGTCAGATTTGAGTTTAAGAAAGAGTTTGCAGCAGGATGTGGGAAGTTTCACTTTCTCCGGTCCCCCATTCTCTACCAGTCCCCAATTCTAGCCCTCCCCAAGTTGACTGGCCTCACCTGGAGGCAGCAGGCAGCAGACCAGAAGCAGAGAGATGAGCGGAGTCCAGCAGGCCCTGGGCAGTGGCCCCAAAGGCACCATGGTGGCCAGCCTATGGAGGAAGTGCCTTAATGTGGCACTGGGCAGGTCAGAGGGGAGCAGGCGGGGCCACCAGGAAGCACAGCCACAGCGGTTAAGATTGCAGAAGTCCGGGGCGGCACCTTGCCCAGGCCTGGGGAAGGGCAGGGGGGATGTTCTGTGGCCCCGGAGGTCCAGAGTGGGGAACCCAGCTAGGGTCCAGGGAGGTGGAGGGCTCTAATGAATCGCCCACTGGGTGGGCCTCAGTTACACTTCTGGCTCCCAAATGAACGCACAGGAAATGAGAACACAACCCTCTTCCTTTGTTCTCGTACTGGGGAGGAGGGGGGCTGGAGGGGGGCAAGACACCTCCTTCCTGCTGAACTTAGGTAAGTGTGAAATTGCGCAGCACTTCATTTCTTTCATACGACCTTCTTTCTTTCCTTGTGATCAAATTGGCCTCATCCCACTCCCTGACTTTCACCTCTCCCTTGCTGGTCCACTCCCTAATCACTAAGCCTTCAGGACAATGAGGTTCTGGTTGGCATCAAATAGTCTTAGGAACAAAGCCTCAGGTCTAGTGACCACAGAGGAAGATAGGCCTCAGTTATATTTCAGCTCCGGACCCAAGAAAATGGACCGATCCCACCCACCAAATCCTTGCAAAACCAGACAGAATGGAGCCATGGCTGACGTGAGGACCAGATGCAATGATCAGCTACCCCTTCCTTACCCTGGCCCTCCCAGCAACATTCCCCTATGTAGCCCGCCCCAGAAGCCATGGAGGAGCCAGGTCTATGCACACAAGCTCCAGGCGTAGCACCATTCCCTTAACAAACCGTTACTTTCTTGGCTGCGAACTCATGTTTGCTTTGACGCCAGCAGGTGACCAAACTCCTTTACTTTAGTAACAAAGCGGAAGGTGTTCTGTTCCTAGAGAGAAAGGTAATGGGAGTCCGGCTGGCGTGGCTCAGTGGTTGAGTGTCAACCCAGGAACCAGGAGGTTATGGTTCAATTCCGGGTTAGGGTACATGCCTGTGTTGGGGGCTGGATCCCCAGTGGGGGGTGTGCAGGAGGCAGCCGATCAATGATTCTCTCTCATCATTGATCTATCTATCTATCTATCTCACTTCCTCCAAGAAATCAATAAAAAAATATTTTTTTAAAAAAGGTAATGGGAGACCACCTGCCTGTGTCCTTGAAGTGATAAGGTGGGATTTCAAGGCAACATTTCAAGAGAACAATGAGGGACTTCTAGGCAGGGCCTCAGGGATTAATGTGAGATCCAACATTCTTAGGGGACAAATAAGAGATTTGGAGATGATAAAGAGGGGTCCCCGAAGATGAGTAAAGCCATGAAAATGAACAGAGCCCACATTTATTGGGCTCTTGTGCCAGGCTCTGTGTTGGCCACTGGAGCAGCTCCTGTGGGGGGAGCCACCTTTGAAGATTGTGGGGGGTCCTGCCACCTTTGGAGGTTTTGGGAGATCCCCGAATTCCCTATGCACAGTGCTGAGGTGGAATTGTTAGGGGACAGCTGAATCCTGAGCCACCATCTGTCAAGGATGCTACTTGTTTTTGTTTAACTTTTAAAATGGATTTTTAGAGAGAGAGGAAGGGATAGTAAGAGAGAGAAACAATGTGAGAGCAAAACATTAATCAGCTGCCTCCTACATGCTAGCAGCCCTGGCATGTGCTCTGACCGGGAATCTAACTGGCAACTTTCAGTGTATGGGACAACACTAGAGCCACACTGGCCAGGGCAAGGATGCTACTTGTAACTTGCCCCTGCCCCTGTCCTCATCTCTCCCTTGCCTGCCTCTCCAGGCAGTTGGTCTTTTCATCCCAAGAGAACGGACTAGGCGTCAGGTGGCCACTCCCACCTCCATCTGCTCCATCTCTCAGGCCTCCAGTCCACCTCTTGTTCCTCTGATCTGAGCGCCAGTGAGGGACCTTGTTGAGGGCCTTGACGGTACTAGCATTCATCCGCTCTCCCCACCACTGAGGCCATGCCCTCTCCTCTCTCACCTGGGCACCACTCCCTCCAATCAGGGGTCTCCTCTGCTGCCCTGCTCCCCCATCTAGTTCCCAGATGGTGCTGAGAGGGCAACTAAAACTCAAAAGTATTTGTAAATAATATATCTGATAAGAGTTTCTATCCAGATTGTAAAGAACTCTTACAACTCAACAACAGCAGCCAAAACCCAATTAAAAAATGGGCAAAGTTGAATAGACATTTCTCCAAAGAAGCTGTTCAAATGACCAATAAATACATGAAAAGGTGCTCAACATCATCAGTCATTAGGGGAATGCAAATCGAAACCACAATGAGATAGTGCTTCACACCTATTAGGATGGCTCCCATTAAAACAACAACAACAACAAAACACCCACAGAAAATAGCAAGTGTTCATGAGGATGTGCAGAAACTGGAACACACACACTTTGCTGGTAGGAATATAAAACTTTGTTCCTCCAAAAGTTAAACAGAATGATCCAGCAATTCCTCTCCTAAAAGAATTGAAAGCAGGGACTCAGACCCTGGTTCGGTAGCTCAGTTAGAACTTCATCCCAATATGTCAAGGCTGGGACTTTGGTCCTCAGGGCACACAAAAGAATCAACCAATGAATGCATAAATAAGGGGGACAATAAATCAATGTTTCTCTCTCTCTTTCTCAAGAATAAATAAATAAAAATAAAAAAAGAGCTGGGACTCAGATACTTACACACCAATATTCATAGTAGCATTATTCACAATAGCCCAAGGGTGGAAACAACCCAAATTCCACCAACAGATGAATGGATAAACAAACTGTGTTGTATACATACAATGGAATATTATTAATCCTTCAAAGGAAAGAAAATTCACCCTGCTGGTGTGGCTCGGTGGTTGGGCGTTGACCCATGCACAGAGGTTGCTGGTTTGATTCCCCGTCCATGGACACAGAAATAGTGTGGTGAAGGCCTGGGGGCTGGGTGGAGGTGGGCAGGGGGAAATGGGGAGACATCTGGAATACTGTCAACAAAAAATAAATTTAAAAAAGGAAAATTTGATACATGCTACAACATGGGTGAACTTTGAAAACATTATGCTAAGTGAAATAAGCCAGGCACAGCCAAACAAATATTCCACTTATATAAGGTCCCTAAATGAGGAAAATTCATAGAGAAGGTAGAATGATGGTTCCCAGGGGCTGGTGGAGGAGGGAAATGGGGAGTTAGTGTGGGATGGGGGCAGTTTCTGTTTGGAAAAATGACAACATTCTATAAATCCATAGTGGAGTTGGTTATACAACATTGTGAATGTATTTAATGCCACTGAATCCTACACTTAAAAATGGTTAAAATGGTAAAATTTATGTACATTTCAACACACACACACACACACACATACACACACACACAGCATTTACTTATTTTGATTTGTATCCAAAACATGAGATGGATTGATGGCCCAGGAATGAATAAATAGATGAATAGATACAGTATGATAAAGTAAATTTAATAACATGGCAATTGTGAAATCTAGGGGTGTTCACTGTACCATTCTTCTAACTTTTCTGTATGTTTGCAATCGTTCAGAATGAAGTAAAAACTGCATCCCCGATGGGTCTAGGTGGCTACTCATGTCACAAGAGGAACAAGCAGACCTTGAGTACCTCCTGCTAAGAGGGCACAATGGCCTCTAGGAAAGACTTGCCAAAAAAATAGAAACTAGACCAGCCAGTGTGACTCAGTGGCTGAGCATTCATCCATCAACCAAGGGGTCCCCAGTTTGATTCCCGGTCAGGGCACATGCCTGGGTTGCAGGCTCAATCCCTAGTAGGGTGCGCACAGAAGGCAGCCAATAGATGTCTATCATTGATGTTTCTTTTTCTTTCTTTCTTTTTTTTAAATGTATTTTATTGATTTTTTACAGAGTGGAAGGAAGAGGGATAGAGAGTTAGAAACATCGATGAGAGAGGAACATCGATCAGCTGCCTCCTGCACACTCCCCACTGGGGATGTGCCCGCAACCAAGGTACATGCCCTTGACCAGAATCGAACCTGGGACCCTTGAGTCCGTAGGCTGTCGCTCTATCCACTGAGCCAAACCGGTCAGGGCTATCATTGATGTTTCTATCTCTCTAATCCCTCTCCCTTTCTCTCTCTCTAAAAAAGAAAATCAATGAAAACATTTTTCTTTTTTAAAGGAAGCTGAACTGGATCATCTGTGGTCAAGATGAGGACAGAGAAATGCACTGAAACCACACCACAAGGATGACATCAGACTGGTAAAGCCTAAAGGACAACCCCATTTCCTCCACGAATATGTGGCAAGTGGGGAGAAAAGAGGAAGACAAACCAGCCCCCAGCCAAGTGCAGTGTGTGACCTTGTTTGGATTTTTATTTGGACAAATGTTTGAGAGACAATCGGGGAAATCTCACAGGCTACCCAATGCTATCAAGGAATTGTTAAACCTTTTTTTTTTATTATTATTGTACATCACTCCTTTATCATACTGATCTGAAAAAAGATTTAGTAGTTATGCTCAAAATGCCTACTGGGCCCACGTGGCAGGGCCAGCAACTGGAACATGATTCAGAGCGCACACAGTGAAAGACACAGCTGGACATGATCAAGTGACATTTCACTGCCATGAGACACTGAGGCCGGGGAGGGATTCTAAAACACAGCAGGATGACTCCTACCGGCCAAGGAGCTCTCCCACCCTGGTGTGAGGAATGGCTTACTTGGTGATGACCCCATGTGGGAAGAGTTCACCACTACTAGAAACCCCAGAAGGGTTTTTGTTTTGTATTATTTTATATAGATGTGCTTTCTTTTTGTAAAAGTCAATGCAACACGTAAACATGCAGGATTGATCCCAATCTTCTGGAGCCAGCTTTCCTGGGGTCAAGGAGGAAATGTTTGTTGGAATCACCAGGCGTTCGTCTTCCGCTGACCAGAGCCCTCAGTCAGTTCACCTGACTGCAGAGTAGCACAGGACTGCTCGCAGGAACACAAACAGCCTCTCTTGCCTCTCCTCATTGGTCACGCCTTAACATGGCTCCTCCCTAGCCCCCTGCTCTCAAGCAGGTCCTTAGTCATAAACAAAACACTAGCAAAAAACTGGAGTTATTACCCCTGGACTCTCTTAGATAAGAGTCTCCCTCGGCCGGGACGGAGGACCCATGCCCCACAGGTGCCATTCTGACTAGACTGCATGAAGGGAGTGGGTGCAGGAGACAAAATGGCTAACGCAAAATTGGGAGCCACCAGTCCCCATCTGCAGCTACAACCTAAG